TCTTTATATATTTCTTAAACCCATTTAAATATATTTAAATATTAATTTATAATTAAATGTAAATAAATATAATTATATATATTTTTTTTAATTATTTATAAAATTATATATATAAATAATTTATCATTAATATAAATGAGAAATAATAAGATTAAATATATATATATATATATATATATATTTATACATATATATAATCAATCATTATTATTATCTTCTTGAATTTTTTATTGACTCTCAATTTTACATTCTCCTCCATTTTCCGGATCAAATCTTGCTTTATATATATTTCCTTCATATGTAATAGCTATGATAGTATTTTCTTATCCAAAACATACTTTACTTTTTGTATCATTTATTCTACATTATGCAAAAGACCATTCTGAATCAAAATATGGAACAATAAATTTTAAAATTTAAAGTTTGATTTCGGATTATTTTTTGAAAATTTTAGCTTTAATCTACATCTTCGTCTGTTTATTTTACTGCAAAAATATGTATTGTACCCGAATCACTTGATATTGCAACAAAATTACCCCTAGGATTGAAAGCTATTGAATATATCTGCGCATATTCACTTCCTCGACGTAATTCTTACAGTAATTCACCCTTTTATGTCGAATAAATTCTAATTATAGTCCCTTTTTAAGAAGCTGTTGCTAATTTACTTCCATTAGGGTTTAATTAAAGGCAATTAAGTGCACTTTAATGAGCTTTAATATTTGTTGTTTTGCTATCTGTATATAAATGTACATTTATTTCTCCCAAATTTTTATGAGGAGTGGCTAAAATAAGGTCGTCGCCTTCTGTATTTACAGAACATAATCCAAAGGGATTTGGACAAGTGTCTATAGTATCTTTTAATGCTAAATCGGAAAAATTATGAACATATATTTTATTTTCTAAAACAACAATAATAAAATCAACTTTTAATTTTATAGCTTTGACTTCACTTTTAAAATTCATTTCTGCAATTCTTTTTAATTAGTCTAAAATATAAATTAATGAATAATTTTAAATATATAAGTATATATTATATATATATAAATATATATATATATATATATATATATATATATATATATATATATATATATATATATATACTATCATCCCATAATTATATTTTTGTATTTGGAAATTTAGGCGATTTTCCACCACCTACTAATGCTAATATATTACATCTATATATCATTTCAACTATTCCTATTCCTCCACCTAATTATCTTTTATATATTTCACGAAATGGCTCAGTATTATATATACGAAAACCATCTTCACTGCCACTTGCAAAACAACCTTAATCTTAATTAAAACTTAAATATAAAATTTCTTCTTGGGTTTATATGATTTTATAGTTATTGTTTTCCGGTTTATTATTATTATTCATTCTTTATTTTTTTGGTTTGCTTTCTTTTTTTTTTTATTTATGATTATATTTTTTTTAATTTATATAAAATAAAAGTATATTTTTTATATATTATATAAGAGAAATAATAAAGTTTTTTTTTTCTTTTATGAAATGGGAGTAATATATTTATATTAAATATATAAAATAAATATAAATATAAATATAAATATAAATATAAATATAAATATATTTATATATAAATATAAATATATATATATAATTAAATATATATATATATAATTTTATATATTTATAATTTTTAAATTTTTTTCTTGTTTTTTTTCTATTTTTTATTTTCAATTTTAGTTTTTTAGATATATATATTTAAAAATAAATATTTTTTTTTATTTTTTATATTTATTTTTAATTTTATTAACATTATTATTTATATTAAAAATAATTAATTTTCTTATAATATATATATTATTTTTTTTAAATTTTAATAGAAAAATAATAATCTTACAATTTTTAATAACTCACTATACTTTTTTTTTTTTTCAATTAAGAAATAAATATAAAAAATTATTTATTTAAAAAAGAAAAAAAAAACAATAAAATAATTTTTTTTAAAATAAATATATATAAAAAAAAAAAAACTAATTAAGAACAAAAAATAAAGGATATAAAAAAAATAAAAAAATGACTTAAAATAATTTAAATATTCCCGATTTTTAAAATATATACCTCGAATCCTAAAATCAATTCGACTAAAAAAACTATTAAAACGCTTTATTTTTATATCAATCTATATTAACTTTAAACCCAAACTATTCTTAGCCTATTCTAGAAAAAGTATTAGAAAATCTAATTGAATCTGCTATAAGCATTAATTTATATGATCATGCTTTAAATTTTCTCGAAAAATATAAATAATAAATAACCGAAATTAAATATATACAAAATCAAATAAAAATTCTTTAAAAAAACTCAATTTATTTAAAAAATGCCCCTTCTAAAAAAAATATACACTAAATAGAACAATTAATAGAAAATTCCTAAATTCCCTAAAAATAACAATTTCAAAATTAACTAAAATAAATTTCTTTTTTTAAAAAAAACTAAAATGATGACAATAATAAATTAAATTTTTAAAAAATCCAAAATTTAATCAACTCAAATTTCCAAAACGAAAAAATAAACGATCATATATTTCTCATCCCCACCACATGGTTTTCTAAATTTGAAAAATATATCAAATCCGAAGAATAATCTGACATGTTAGAGCAATCTGAGGAAAATAAACACCATCCAGGGGCTATAAATGGTCTATAATTACTTGAAAATTACACTCGAGAGTAATTATTAGACATTCGATAGGCTTTTTTCGATGAAAACTATATAATAAAGAAAAATTTGGTCGAAAAATAGGACTATTTGTTATTCGATAAAGCTATATCTTCCTATTTTTAGGAAGAATTCGGCGGTTTTCTTATAAAAAGATAATTATAAGAAAATATATAAAAATAGTTATATGTAGAAATACACCTTTAATAAATAAACTTTGTTACATATCCTATTTTCGAGAATAATTTAGATGTAAAAACGAAGAATTTGCCATATAAATTTTACATACAAAAAAACTCGAATATTGAAAACTTAAAAGAGAAAATTTCCAAAAACATAAAAAATTTATACAAATTTAGTTAATAAATGAAAATAGGAGATTTAATAAAAATATGGAAAATAGATAAAAATACGCAAACAAATGACATATATAATATGTATATTTAACAATATAAAAACCCGTCTATAAAAATAAAGGCTTCTCTAATAGATTATACGCCAGAAACATCCATATAGGACTTAAATTTAGACCAAAAAACAGTACTTTTATTCGAATTTTACCATTAGGAAGGTAAATCTAAGCTCGAAGGGGAAAAATCTTCTAGTATGAGTATTAATTCAATCACCAATATATAAAATAAAGAAAATTTCAATCAAAAAAATACTTCTATAGAAAAAATAAAATAGGAAAATAACATAGAAAACGAAATTTTACCCAAAAACATCATTTAATTAATGAATAAATTTAATATATAAAAACCTATATAAGGACTATAAGGAAGAAAAGGACTCACAGGACTCTAAAACTTAGGAAATACATGTTTTATGAATTCTTCATTATAATGTCTTAGTAATATATAAGAATTAACAATATATATGATAAGTAATGAATATTTAAATGATCTTAATCCAGAAAATAAACTAGGAACAGGTAAAAAATAATAAACATATTAAAATAAAATAAAAAGATAAATATAAATAATATTTAAATTTAAATATTTAAAAATAAATAAATAAATAAAAAAATATTTATATATTATATTAAAATATTTATAATATATATATTTATATTTATATATTATCATATATTTTTAATAGGTGGATATCTTTCTGTAGCTTATAGTAATTTAATGAAAGAAATGTGGTAAGGAAATTAAAGTTCTATATCACCTCATATTTTGAAAAAAGTAATAGGAAAACTAGCTCCATAAGTATAATATATATATACATATATGCACATATTTATTAATTTATTTAGTTTATGGGTTATAATTAATAAGATTCTTAAGAACTATTAAGTTATATATTAGATGGTTTACATGAAGATTTAAACCGTATAAAAGAAAAACCTTTAATCGAAAATATAGAATATGATGGAGGCTCCAATAATGATTAATTAATTTCTCAAAAATTTAATGAGAATTACAAAAAGAGAAACGATTCAATAATCGCTGATTTGATTTTGGGATAGTTTAAAAGTACATTAGAATGTCCTACATGTGGTAAAATATCAATTACATTTGATCCTTATATGACTTTATCACTTCCTATTCCTTAAGAAAATTATAGATAAATATAGTTTTTTATAATATATAAAGATAGTAGGGTTACTCCCACATAATTGAGCCTTAAATTAGATTCAAATACTACAATTTTATAGCTAAAATAAATACTATATCAATACACAAAAATTAATGCTGAAAATCTAGAATTTTGTAATTTAAAAGATTTCTATATAACTTAAATTTTCGAAAATAATGAAACTATAAAAGTAATAGAATAATATGGAAATTAAAATATTTTTTGTTACTAAATTAATGATGATATTAATAATAATAATAATAATAATAATAATAATAATAATAATAATAATAATAATAATAATAATAATAATAATAATAATAATATTGCCCCTTCTATTAAAAATAATCAAGAAGAATATATATAGACTAGATTTACAATAATTTTAAATTCCAAAAATATTAGTTATGAACGATTAATTTATTTAAAAAAGATATTTCAATACAATAACTATATATATAATTATATAAAATAATCAGAGTGAACCTATCCCTATATTATTAAGAAAAAGGTAAAAAACCGAGTAAATAAACCTCCAAGATGACGATACTAACACAATAATATAAGAAATAATTTAAAACTCTAAATATAATGCCGATTTATTTAATTTTAAAAACTAAGATGGAAGAGAAATCCCTTTCGAAAATTGCGAAAACAAAAGTATTTCTTAATATATAGACAAAGGAAAAGAAGGTAAAGAATGCCTAAACATAAGAATGCTTCTTTAAAAAAACAGTGAAAAGCAGCTTTATAAATTCAACCGATATAAAGATGAAAAAGACACTAAAATACTTGAAAACAGTAACCTATTAGATAAAAAAATAACTATACAAAAATGCCTATAAGAGTTTACGAAAAAAGAAATACTAGAAAGTGGTAATGAATGGTATTGTAATAAATGTAAAGAACATAAAAAAGCCTCTAAAATTATGCAAATTTATTCGGTTCCGAAAATCCTTATTATTCATCTAAAAAGATTCAAATCAGGAAAAATGAGAAACTTTGGAAAATACTTCTTTGAAAGCGAAGGAAAAAAAATAGACGATTTTGTAAATTTCGAAATTTAAAATTTAGATCTTTCTGATTTTGTAATTTCTAAATTTAATCAATAAAATTATATTTATGATCTTTTTGCTGTAAGTTAACATTATGGAGGGACTAGTGGAGGTCATTATACGGCTGCTGGGTTTAATTTTGAGAATAAAAAATGGTTCTAATTTAATGATTCATAAGTTGATAGTATTTAGCCTTAATAAGTGGTTAATAAAAATGCTTATTTATTGTTTTATAGAAGAAGAGAAGAATGAATATTTTTTATATTTAGTTTTAAAATAAATCCAAGTTTTAATATTTCCAATAATATATATATATATATATATATATATATATATATATATATATATATATATATATATATATATATATATATATTATATATATATCAGAATAATAAATCGTTAAATAAATCATCTGTTATTCCGTTTTTATATTAATTATATTTATCTATATTTTGGTTTTAAAATATAATGTTTTTAATATTATTAATTATAACTTAGTTAATCTTTTTGTATACTTTCATTTACTTAGTTTTTTTTTTTTTAATAAAAAAAAATATAAAAATACTTTATTTTGATCTTTCTTATTATTATCTTATTAATTCATTATAATTTTAAATTTATTCCTTTTTTTTTTTTTTTTTTTGTTATTGTTTAAAAATAAATAATATGTTATTAAAAATACTTTCTTATTCGTTTAATTATATCTATTATAATATGTATTATCGAATTTTTGTGTTATTATATACTTCTTCGTATTTAAAATTATTATATTCACAAAATTTTCTAATTTTTTAATCGAACATAAATGAAATTTGTTCACTTTAAACTTGCTAACTTTATAATTATTAACTTTAAAATTATTATTCCTATAATTATTGGCTTTATAATAATTATTTCTATATTAGATAAATTCATATATATATATATCAATACATATTAATTTAATACTTATTATATAGTATTTTCTTCTTATATCTATTAAGTATGTTAATTTAATAATTGATATATATCATAATCATGAGCTTCATCTTTACTACTACTTAAAGAATTATCATTAACATGAATCTAAAAATATATATATATATATATATATAAATGCAATTATTAATAAATAAAAAAAAAAATATTTTAAATAAATACTTTTTATATCATTTTGCTATTTTTCAATAAATTTATATATATAATTATACTTATAAATGATTTTATAAATTTATATACAACTATTAATAAATATATATATAAATATATCAATATATCACAAAATATTTTAAAAATCTGATTTTAAATGTATGAGACTAATTTTCGAGGATTTATAATTATAAAACTCATTCATAAATTAACTAACAATAGCAATTCTAATAAAAGAACTCATTCCTTTTCTTTAAACTTTCAATAAACTCATACATCTATTTGGTAAAATCGGATTACACCAGAAATCTTCATTATTAATAGGTGATGGATTATCTAGAATATTTCCATATCCATTATATAGTCCTAATTTTCCTTATCCACAGAATATAAAATTTAGATTTTTATGGAAATACTCATAATCGTTTTCATTCATTTTTAATTTTTCTATAATCAATATATCTCCTATGATATCTTTATGGTCTGTATTTATACTAACCATCTTATTTTTATTTAAATCTATATATTTTAAAATTCCATTCTTAGATCCGACTACAATAATATTCTTATAACTATAAGGAATACTGATACTATATATAGTAGTTTTCAAATTAAAAGTCCTTTCAATTAAACAACTCTCGAATTGATTAGCTAAACCATATCTACTCTAACCTTTTCTATATTCTAATTAAAATATTCTTAATATTTCTCCACAAGATGCTGCGAGTCGTTTAAATCTTTAAATATATATATGTTTATATTTATATTTATATAATAATATAATTAAATAAAAATATATAATATATATATATATATATATATATATTTATATATATATATATATATTAACCTTTCTACAAGACTTATACATGTTATTATACTTTCAAAAGCAAATTATAATTTAAAAATCTAATATATTTTTTATTTATTCATATTATTTATTTATAATTTTTTTTACTTAAACACCTTATTCTATATCCCAAATAATAATATCACCAGCTTCATCTCCACTGGCTATATTTTTCTCATCTTCCAAAGATATAATTTTAGTTATCCATCCTTAATGTCCATGTAATTATTTTATAGGAACGTTAATAACAAAATCACTATCTTTTAAACTAAAATCCCAAATTTTAATTACTTTTTCAAAACCTCCTGAAATCAAAACAATTCCTAATAAAGAACTAATTTTTATTTCTGAATTTTTTTATACGTTTTGTGCTATTTTTAACATATCATCTTCAGAATAAAAAGCGTTATTTTATTAATTTTTATCATTAGTAAAGTTTACACAACACATGCAAGTAATACAATTTTTATCATTTATTTATTTTATTTAATTACCGTCTTTTAATCTCCAAATCCTAATACTCCTATCATATGAAGAAGTAGCAATAATATCATCAGTTAAAGAAATTATACAGGTAACACTATTACTATGATTTGAATTTATATTAGCAACAACTTAAAAATCGAATTTAAGGTCATCAAATAATTTATATGATTAAATTCTAACATTTTTTTTATTATAAGAAATCAAATTTTAATTAGCCTATAATTATATATATATATATATATATAATATATATATATATATATATATATATATATATATATATATTATTCATATTATTTTTCTTTTTATTATTTTTTACTTCTAATATTTTATCACTATTAATTACAGGTAATTCTTTAAAACTTGATTTAATTTCTAATTCTATTTCTTATATAATATCATATATATTTCTTAAATATTTGTCATATACAATTTGTTCTATTTTTACATGTTTTTATCCTTAATCAATTATAGAATCAGCCAAACACTATAAATTACTTATTAATTATCCTTCTATATTAACACTTTTTCTTAACCCACTTAAAAAATGAAAGACTTAATAAGGTGTTTTTGTTAAAAGAATAGCCTTTATATTATTATAATCTGAATATTTAATAAAAGTATCTTCAGGATTAAATGCTTTGTATTACTATTTGAAAAAATACATATTATTTCTATAATTTTCCACCTATTTACTAAGAAACTCTTCCGAAAAATGTTTAATTCTTTAAAGCCTATGAATAAAAAGAGTTGCCATTTCATCTAAATTTTTAAATAAAATATCTTTCTATTACTTTAGTGCCTATTCATATCCATAACTTAACTTACATTCGTTATTTATTACATTATTTAAATTTCTATATATTTAACTTGTATTGGGATTTAATTTTTTTCCTATTTCTTATGCTATATATTATATGTAATCAGAAAAACGTATAATTGAATTTTTATGATCTTTCATATGCTATTAGTCTTCTTCTATACATTTATCACAAATAATTGTGTTATTTTCGCAATTATATTCAATACAGCCATATGTTATAAAGTTTCCTGAATGTTTATGACAATAAATTTAAGTTATTAATGATGTTCCAAGTTATTAACTTTATAAGTCTATCATGTTTTTAATAATAAAATAAATATATAATAGTATATATATATATATATATATTAATATTAATATTTATATATAATTATATTTATTTATTTATTATATTTTAACAAAATTATATTTTTATTTTATATTTGAATTTATTATTTATTTTTAAATTATATATATATTATTTTTATTTTTTGATATAAAAAATGGATAATAGTAATAAGTATTTTAATCAAAAATCACTAAATTCATTATAGAGTTTAGATTAATCAACATAAAGTGTAAATTATTCAAAGAATTAAAGCTTTAATATAATATAAAAGACTATAAGTATTATTCCAAATTATGTAGATACATAAAAAAATTATAATCCAAAATCAATAAATGATTGGAAAACCGAAACTAATGCCTTAAAAGAATTATTTGCTGAATAAGATGAAGAAATAGAATACTGGAAAAATATGTTTCAAGAATAAGAAAAAAAATAAACTAAAATTAGTCAATTATTGAATAAAACAAAAATTTGGAAATCAATTTATAAGATTTGCTTATAGATTTAGAAGATAAAAAAATTATATAATTTAAATGGAAAAAACGTTAATAAATATTTAAATAAAATAATATTATTCATATTAATATATATGTATTATAATATATAGTTTTAATTCAAATATAAGCATAAAAGAGAATTAAATTTAATAATTATAAATCTAATAATAATAATGTATTAATTAAATATAGGATTTATAAATTTAAATTACAGTTAAAGAATCATAAATTAATTAATTAAAAAAAGTGTAAATAAGAAAATGATTAATTTATGTTTCAATTTAATTTATAAATTAAAAAATAGTATTGAAAATATAAGTATAGAATAATTTAAAAAATAAAATGAAATGAATTAAAATAAGGAAATACTAATTAAAAAAATTAATGATAAAGATTAAAAAATAGAAAAATAAATAATAGATAATAGATAAGATTAGAAATGAGTAAAAAAGAATAATATAAATATATAAATATATAAATGTAAAATATATATATATATATATATATATATATATATATATATAATTATTTAAATATATTTACATATAAAGTTTATAAGAAAAATAAAATATATTTTTATAAACATAAATAAATAATTTAATTTAATAGTTATTTGACTTAAATGAATGACATTTATAAAATTGAAATTGAAAATTTAAAAAACAAGTTATTATTTAATAAAAAAAAATTAAATTTAATAAAATATAGTTATTAATAAAAAGATGAATAAAACAAAAAATTAAATGAAAAAATTAATTAATTAAATATATAATTACAAAATTAAATAGAATTAATAAACGAATAAAATATATAAATCTAATTTTATATAAATAAAAAAAATATTTTATTTATTTATTTCAATATAATAGTATTTAAGATTAATTAGAAGAATAAAATAATGACATATAATATTTATAGAATTAATTATAAAAAATATAGTTACAATAAAAATTATAAACTTAATATCAAAAACATAAATTGTTAATCAAATGAAAATTAAAAAAGTTTAATTTTTTATTTATTTTTATATATGAAATTTATTTATTATTAAAAGAAAAGTTTATTTATTAAAACATAAAGAAATGATAAATTCGGATGTTTAATAAAAGAAAATTAATATAACTAAATTAAAAATCTAATAATACAGTATAATAAAAAAATATATATATATAATATATATATATACATATATATAAATTATTTTTTTTATTATAATTTTCTTATATATTATCAACACAATAATTAATTTGCCTAAATAAAAATTCAATATTTACAATTTTTATATAAGTTTTTATTATATTAACAATTTATAATTTTAAATAAATAAATATCTTAATAAATTTTATAATTTAAAAATAAAGATTAATTAATATTATATTATTTTTAATTACTAAATTTAATACATTTTTTTTATTAAACATAAATTTAATTAAAAGATAAAATAAAATTGAATTTTTTAATGTATAAATATAAAACTTATTGAAAAATGAAGACTTATAACCAGAAGAAAAATAATCATAATTAATTATATATGCAGACAAATAATATCATTTTATAGATACTTATTAAAAAATGTAAAATAATACAATCAATATATATATATATATATATATATATATATATATAT